CCCCAAAACCCCAAAACCCCAAAACCCCAAAACCCCAGTTGTAATTACCTTTGTAGAAAAATCGAAATAAAGAATATAAGTCTTAAAATAAAATGGAAAGTGATTTAAAAAATCCCAACGATGATGATAAAGTATTTAAGGATCATTTATCCAACACTCCTTCCGTTCATGACCAGGGTATTGACACTGACTTCAACTCATGGAATGAGAGAGCATCTGATCATCCATATGACACTGCAGCTATGAACTCGAGTTCAAAAGACGTTGACCAAGATGCGAACCTACAGATGGCAGATGACAGATACGAACATCTCTTAACAGATTCAGTAGATAATAGGGAAACCTTAGCCAAGTTGATGCTTAATGAGAGTCCTGATAAATAAGATGAACACTCAAGTTAAAGAAACGGTAAGATAAGCGATTTCTAGATAGAGGTTTTGAAAAATTGAGGGCCCAAGTTCAATTTTATGTACATTTTTACATGAAAATAACATTTTTAAAGAGTACAGAAGAGGATTTAGGTGTTATAGGTTGGATTTTAGGATCTTGTAGCTATTTTTAGGGTCTTAGAAGTGATAGGGAGTATCAGAGCAGTTCAAGTCAAAAATTGAGGGGTCAATAATGCCTATACTGTCGTTAGATAATTTAGTGTATTAGTAATAAGCTAAAGCATTAATTTAGGAGAATGAAGCTACTTTTAATGAAAGGGAAGACGCCAGTTCAAGATCATTAGAGAGACCCTGGAAAAGCTCTTCTATAAATCCTTTTAGCTCACAGTACCAGTTTCAGAAGGAAGTAGATCCTGTAGCTTTCAAGAAATATGAGAACGAGTTATCGATGTCAAAAATGCCATTAAATTTAAACTTAGAAGACTTGCTCAAAGAAGAGACCTTGATAAGTGATATTTTCTCTAAGCTAAAAGATCAGGAAGATCCTTCGATAATCTGAGATTTATGGTGGGAGACTAGTGAAGAGTCAGCTCTAATGGCTGTGTCTAGATATTTTAAGGATGAAAAACTTGTAAATACTATTAATGCCTCTCTAAAGCTCCAAACAGTAGTGGTTGGATATACCCAATTCATGAGCACACTTTTTCCATACGATTCTTTTGTCAGAAATACTTTTAAGAACATGAACACTTACATTCATGAAAACTTCTTATGAATTTTAGTGTGCTTTTTGCAGCGTTTGAATACCTCTCTAAAGAAGACGAATAAATTTTCCAAAATTTTAACTGAAATATTAAAACAGAGCGCTATCAAGTCAACGATGACTAAGAAGGAAGCTTACCTGAACATGAAGCAGAGGAATGATCTCCTCTCAAAGATGCTCAAGCAGACTGCTCATTCTAAGCCTAAGAGAAGCATTGATGATATTATCTCTCTCATTTTGAAGAATTTGAAGATGCTAGACCTTGAGAAAGTGAGAAGATTCGTTCATAATTCCTCAAGAGGAAAGAGCAAACGTCCAGATATCGACCCTTATGCTTACAATGACTTTAACGATAGTACTCCTCCAGTTGAGGAGAGGAAGAACTCAACTACAAAGACAGGTAAAGGGACTAAGAACAACCCTTTGATCACTTCTGCTGGGGCGATGTTAGGCCTTCTCCCAGGGATGGAAGTGCCAAAATCACCATATTTGCCAGAAAAGCCTCTTGATGAGATGGAATACACTCTTGTTCTAGATCTTGACGAAACTTTGATTCATTTTGTTGAGGATCCTCCTAATAACTTCTTTAGGACTAGGCCTGGAGCTATTGAATTTCTCGAAGAAATGAGCAATTATTATGAAATAGTCATTTTCACTGCTGGAATGAAGGATTACGCAGACTGGGTTCTTGACCAGCTTGATTCCAATAGACTCATCAAGCATAGATTGTATAGGACTCATGTGAAGATAGAAGGATTCTCATTGATCAAGGATCTAGAATCAATTGGAAGAAACTTGAAGAAGACTCTTATAATCGATAACCTTCCAGAGAACTTTAAGAAACAGCCTGACAATGGAATTTTTATCAAAACATGGTATGATGACATGACTGATACCTGTCTCTATGATCTAATTCCCTTGCTTAAGAGATTGGTCATAGAACAAGTTCCTGATGTTGGAGCTGCCTTAAAGAAATATAGAGACCAGGTGATTAGACTTATCTCAGCAGGAGTTGAGAACCCAGATACTGAACTCATTAAAGTTATGTAATTATTTTCAATCACCAGGGATAGCATTGGGGTTTTGGGGTTTTGGGGTTTTGGGGTTTTGGGG